AGTGATGCCAAACTAACAACTTTGATGAATAAAAAAAACTTAATAAAAACCAAGTCCTTGTCTATGGCTATCCTTTATAATGTAGCAATGAACCGTTCTAATATCAAAAATGACAGATGCGTCAGACGTTAACGTACCATTTTGACAGTAGAACAAAAGTTGATAGAAAAACTCGCATCAAGACAATTAGATTGGATTTGCATATTCACAGACGCATTGTTAAATGAGTTGACTCAAGAATGGAGTACGAATGAAAGGCGGAGGTAAAAAAAGTAATGAAAAAAGACTCGGCTGAGCAGTGCTGCTGTTTTCAAACGCATCTTTGCGTAACCAACTGTACAGAGAGATTGAATGCTCCGCAGTTTATTGTGATCCTTACAAATGTTATTTATATTAAAAAAAAGATATTCAGATTTATCTTGCGTATTAAAAGCAACTAACAAGAAGTTCTCCTCTTAAAAATGTTTTAAGTAGTTTGGTATTATGTGGGTTTACCAAATACTTTAACACTTTCAAACTATGTTATATTTGCTGGCTACATATAAAACATTACTACACTTATTGTTTGTGCAGTCCTTTAAGAAATAATATTAAAGAAGCGCATACGCTACTTAAAACAACAACATAAAAAGCCCTTATATTTGCATAATCAACAACACTATATAAAAATACTTAAGATAAGAGAATTAATTAGTCAGAATGTAGAATTTAATTTAATTTATTTTACACGTTGACTGAATTCCTTACAACATACAAGGATACGGTAAGATGCGGCAAAAACGAGCGATGCTAGCGCCACGGAGCGGCTACGGAGACCATAGACGACCAGTTATGGCTGGCACGTGTAAAATCCTCCATAGAGTTTGCTCCTTTAAAAATAATTCTATACATTATAAAAACCAATAAACAAATTAGAGTTGCTAACGGCAGTCTTTTAAATGTTTTCTTTTCACCTTATATTTACCATTGAAAAGGTCTTTTTGACTCTAATCGATACCAAAGTTAAATATTTTTTTCGTATTGTCTATTGATAGTTTATGAGAGAATGACAATTAATTAAAACACAAATGCGCTCTGCAAATGTCAACAGTACCCGCAAATTCGTATATGACCAAGTATCCAGTTTCAAGTCACATTACACTCGGTAAAAATACTTCAATATAATTTTATAGTACAAATATTTGGCAGTTCGTACCAGGTTCGAGCGCCGGATTTATACGCGGCGGTGGCTCCGGTATAGCGCGGCTGAACCTCCTTAACCATTTCGTAAGCAAGGACCGGCTCCGCCCTGTCTGTAAAAACCACGATGAAAATAAAATATTGTACTGTGCTTTAGGGTTCCGTTTGTGAATCTGAATAAACTTTTTGTTTTTATTAATTTAATAGCTCCATTTAAAGAACGTACCGTACACAATTAAAATTAATTGTAATTATATTGATTTATTTCCATATTTATTGACGAATTAAAGTTCAATTAATTTAATTTATTTTTAAAATATAAAAATTTTGATTTGCCACTTTATGCTATTTAAATTAAATCTCGAAAAGTAATTTTTAAAAATATGGTTTATTAAATTGCAGCCAGATTTGCTGCTGCGAACATTAAAAATAATATGAATACGGAACTTGGATACCGCATTATTATTCGCGCACCGAATTTTTTTAATCAACCACTATTTGGTTTAATATCGCCGAGTTTTTCAGGCGCCCGCCGACATAGTTATACTTTATTATTGCACAGCAAAACTTCGCAAGAAACGTTTTTGCAGCGTGCATTTTTATTTACTTATTTACATAATATCCTTTTTTGTTTGGACCAGCGCATGGCTTATGGGAGGCATTATGCGGGAATCGAACCCAAGTCGCCATGTTGGCAGACTACTTGTGTTTTATATCGCTAGTAAAATGAAAAATAAATTCAATATACATATTTTACATTTTTTAAATATTTGAGGTAAGTTTACCACAACTTAGTAATCGTAAGAGTGAATAGATTCTTATGACGTCTAAACTAGCGTTCTATCGATCCAATATACAGATTAATGTAGAAAAATGGTATGCACTAGCATAGTAAATTCCTACTCTTGATAATACTCTTATTTACTTTGTAAATACTGTTTTTAGAACTTTTATACGAAGCCCAAAATGAGCCATCTCTATTGAAATTGTCTACAGAGGTCCCGTGCCAATCTTTTCTATCGAGGATCTCGAGATAAAGGTATGTATCTGTCTGTACTATTTACATTTGTACGTATGAATTATGAGACACTTGTGTTCATGAACAGACACAATGACTGAGTGTACCGTGTGCAGTTCGTAGTCTAATTCCATCATTAGTCAATCACGCTGGCCGAATGCGAATTAAATGACTTCAAACATATTATTGAATTTCTTCTCAAATGAATTACGCATCACGGTATTTTACTTTACGTGAATATGAAGTGGAAAGATCGAGGGTTCGTATACATTACTAGTCGTGTTAATCTGCACCACCGACGCATATCTTTGTAAATATCTAGAAGCTCGTAACAAATAGGTCGGGAAGATCAGATACTTGATATTTAAGAGTAGAGTTATCTAGAGACGAGAGGGTCACAAGAAGTTGATTCTTTAACAAACGACAGGGAACTTTCCCGAGGTATCAGACTGTAGTTTTTGCTGGCGCGCCATGTGAGCGCAGTTTTTCCGACGTTACCACGGTTTTTCCGTCATCTATGTACAGTAGAGTGAAGTTTTTACTGCATCGATTGTGAATGTAGGTGATACGAAACGTTTTGATACTTGGAATATATCTTCTCTTGCGCTGAAAAATTGTTAAAAGTAATAAATTTATTTTTATATTTGTTTAGGTTTTTATTTTATAATTTGTTTCTCTTCCTTAAAATATATAGAAGATTACAACCACTTTTAATATTTAGCTGATATAATTAATAGTATCAAGTAATACGAAAAGTGTTTGCAGAAAACTGTTCGTTTTCTTTTATACTTGTTTAGGACATTGCTAAAATGCATAGAAATTATTAAATAAAAAAAAATGTTTAAAAATTAAATATTTAGAGACAATGAAAAACAGATTTAGATTCAATCTTAATACAATATAAATAATTAAAATGTTGCAAAAAAATAGCACAAATATTTATAAGTATTTAGCAAGGATCAAGATGGCGCGGTCCCGGTCGCATTAAGGTTGTCATAAAAAAGTCTTTGTAAGACAAAGCGGCGCGGTGGTTCAGAAAAACACAAATTACGTCTCAGTAGCGTCTTCGAATCCAAGTCGCATCATGCGAATTTACTTCTCGTTCGCTAGCATATGTTTTTGCGTAACCTCACTCTCGGAATTGCGGGATAAAAAACAAGACGCAATCGTCGCAGGAAATGTGACTATAAATGTGATTTCATTAATCATATTCTACTGCAATTTATTTGTTACAGAACAATTGTCAACATCGACAATATCTAATATGCCTAGTTGAATGATTGAAGCTTAGAACAAATTGTGAAATAAAAATTGACAATTTGACGTATCATGTTATATAGTCTTTTTAAAATGTTAGTTTTATTTTTGACAATCGTATTCAAAGTAACGAATCACACTTAAACTTATGTTGTAAACTAAATTAAACTTTATGTTGATAGTAAGAAAAAAGAAATAGGTCTTTTGACTTCTGTTGACTGCGTAAAAAGAAACATTAAATATTTTTTTTATCATATCTTATTATTTTCTTGCAGTTTATATTTAAAAAAAAAACGAAAATATCGCAAGAGGAAATTTCGTTTAGTACATTTTTGTCATAACTCTATCCTTACTCTCTTTATTCTCGTTTCTTCATTCATAAAATCTTTGGCTTGCTAACCACAGACAAAGATTTCTATACCTACTTATACTTTGGACTTTTTATTGATGTTTTTGTTTTTCTTTAAAATTGCAATGAACTTAAATTCAGCATAGTTTACAAAATTAATTACTGACATTTTTGACTAATTTACATCCTACTCTATAAAAAACTTTTTTTAAATATTTCTACGCCGAGTAGCATTTACATATATATTATATATACATTTACAATAATATATAAAGTCCCTGACGTAGTTAAAGTTATATATTGGCCCCTAAAGAAGTTACTTAGGGTATGTCTCTCATAAATCTGCAATAAGGATGACTTAGGACTCTGAGTAAGACATAAATAGCTCAACAGCTTGTAATTAACCGGATCAATTACATAAATTGCATTATGAAGAAAATATTTCAATGTTTTTTTAATCATCTTTCCGCGAAGTTTATCCAAACGCGCGGGAACTATGCTAATGGCCACTCGGAACATACATGGCCAAACTATTGCTCTGGAATTTTAGAAAAAAAAACATTTTATAGCTTTATTTATAATGCAGCCTGTTGTTTTGTACACAACTGTTTAATTGACTAAAATAAACGAAGGATAAATTAAGTTGTATTTTTGTGATTAATTATTTTTTATTTGCATACTTTTGTTATAAGAACGAAACTAGTACTTATCCAATAAACAGTATTCGAAAATATAATTAATTTTGCTTATCATAAAACATTTTGATAACAATTTTAAGTCCCACGTATTTATGTTTGTGAATTTTAAACTTGAAAGTGATCGAGGCTATAATAGTTTCTTATTGGATTTTTTCAAAATAATTTTAGTAAGGCCTGACATAACTTTTATAACGTACATTTATAAATTGAAGTAATATGAAATATACGTGTGCTTTAGTTACATTTTCACTATTAAAGTCTCTGAAAGAGCGTGCACTAAGTTTCAGAATTTAAGGCGTTAATTAAATTGGAGGCTGTAAACGTTTTCCTTACTTGTATTTTCATTGTTACATACCTTGAGTGCATCATAAAAACATTATTCTATTAGCAATGCAAATGACTCTGTATGAGAGATACTAATTGGTGAATTAATTCAACCTTATTTTCGGCTGCGATGTGTAAAAAACTTGTTAAAATGATATTGCACGAGGTGACTTACTTGTCCCATTCACGTTTCGTCCGATGATCTTATTGGAGCCATTGGGTTGTGACGCGGCGGGGGCGTGCGGCGCGGGGGGCGCACTGCGTCCCGTTTCCTCGCCCGGGCTCTCCATGTCGCCCCTCTCGCTCACACACATCAACCCGCCAATTTGAAAACTTCACAAAATTTTCAAGTGTCAACTTTGTTTGACATTATAACCTAGATTGAAAACTGCCACAGATTAAAAAGGTTTTTTTTTCACACGTCCGAGCAAAGAGTTCGGATATGTTTTTGAAGTTTATTAATTTTATTGAGAATGTAGCCGTGACGTGAGCGGAATGAAATTCGCGCCGCGACTGACGGCCGGGGCGCGGGCCCTACGAGTGCAGCTGCACGCCACTCGCCCCGCCCAGCGCCCGCCGCCAGCACCCCCCGCCCGGCACCCCACGTGGCCGCGGCCCCACCAGCCCCACGGCAGCTTTCCTTGCCCTCGGCTCTTACATAAAAAACCAATATAAACCATTACTGCGACCTACGAAATTCTTTGAATGTATGCGTGAGTTACGTTAGTGTTGGTGACTCTATGTAGAGGGATCGGAAGGGTAAAGACTTGAGGGTCGACGGGTCGCTTTTTAATTTAAAAATCCGACTTACGTATCGATCCAAGCTAAGTAAAAGTTTTAGTAACATGAACTTAACTGTCTGAACCATCCTGTATTTTTGCACTATTCATAGTCTGGGTATCAAAGAAAGAAAACTACTTTGTCTATAGATAAACATTCTTGTGGATGGTTCCTCTACCTAGTTATATTTTAATGTATTAATTTTGAGCAGCAATTCAAGATTTCATAAGAGCCGGTTCAGAAAGCTCCGCCGGCCTGATTAATACGTGTAACCTATATTTCGGTCTGAACATGGTTAGTTTTTTTGCAAATCACCCAGTACCGTTGTCGGGTCGGCCATTTTATAAGTTTTTTATCGTTTCCGAGAAAACGGACTGCTTTCGGAGCCCTCGGACGAATTAAGCTTTTGCAACTGATTATCATTTTTAATTTGATCACGGCACGAAAGGGTCGACTGGTATTCGGTTTTTATGCCTATTGTGGGATTTTTGTTAAGAAAATACTTTAGGCGTTCTAATCAATTTTAATCGTCTGAAAGAATTTTAAGTTAAAATGTAAGATGAGAAACAAGTCAAATCTGATAAAGATACCTACTATGAAAAGTTACCAAATATTAATATAGTTTTGCGAATTCTAAACCTACTGAAAGGATCTTGAAAAATATTTCCTTAGTAAAAAAAAAGTGCAGAGAAAAAGTGACTAGTCTGTATGTTACACAAATTTCGAATTCGAATTCGAATGAATTCGAATTTCGAACATTGCATAGATTAATATATTCAAAACTTTATAACTGGCCAGTACGCTTAATCTATGATATTTTAATAATTTTATTGAAGCATGTTTAATACAATATTTCCATGTTGGTAGCCCCGCAGATCTCGCGGCGGCAATGCGGCGAAGGAAAGTGTCCGACCATTTGCCGCACGTGGGAAAATAGTTAGCGAATATTTAACATATTTACTGCCTTATAAAACTGATTACACATATCGTTCGATGCTGATTTTCAGTACTATCACTTTAATTTCCCATGAGAATTTTATCAGATTATGTCCTAACGTGTAGAAGTGCTACCTTCCTTATGTAGGGGTGTAATACGTAAAGTAACTCTACTAGATCTAGTAGACCAAAATGTTTTACAATATTCAAAACAAAATTATACCTCTCATATCCATAATTATGTAGTTTTAAAATTATCAAGTTTGCTTTATAAATCGGTTACAAAAGAAGTAAAAAGCTCTGGCTTAAACCAACACCTCGTTTGTTTTATTTCCAAAAATATGAAAGAATCTTTTAGTGTAGATTTCACATACTTATGACCACTAAGGGTGACTTAACGACTCTGTGGTAATGTTAGAAACACTTACAAGTTAAGTGTTAGTCATATTTTGGCAAAGTTTAGCAATGGAATAAGCTGGTGACACACTTGGCATTTTGCCAAAAACTTTACTCGTAGACCGTAGACGTGGCTTGTCATATAAATCTGACTCGTAGTTTAGTTCATAACTGCATGGTAATTTTCAAACATTGGACAATAAATTGAGGTTTTAGTAACCAATAGTTATTAACTGCACAGTTGTACAGTTTGAACAAGAGGTATGAATTTTTTCTACACGTGTGTGATTTAACTGAACTGAAAGTGTATAGGATGCTTTCACTGAAATATTTCTCACATAATTTTATTTCATATCAAAGATAAAGGAAAGTTTTTCATAAGTCAATAAAACCTAGTAATTGTGATTATTTTCATAATGTAAGTATAAGTGCATGTTGATTACGAAGCCTTTCGTTAACAAATCTGATTTAAATAACTCTTTATAAGCATTAGTGTCGGAATTTTGTGGACTGAATATTATATACCTATCTGAATGTCGGTGCCCACGATACAGGCATTGCCTAATGTGGGCATCACTAGATTATCCAAATTAACCATAAATAGTAACTTAAGTTTAATTTAATTTCTTAGTTATATGCAATTTTTATTATATTATTGTTTCTTGGTTTAATATTTGTTACCTATAATAAAAACTTTATTTTTCTTTTCAATATTTCTGTTTAATGTGCTATAACTCTGTATTAATTTAAAACACGAATAAAGTTTCTCCATCGACAACTTTTTTAATATCGTATTTTCTCACAGTTTAGAAAAGTCTATATCGATAAGTTTTTCCGCGTTGGCCGGTCTCGGTCCCCGTGCGCCGGAGCTGCGGGGCGAAGGGTTTTAATACATTTCCCACACTACCGGTCCCGTTGGTCAGAGGTATCGCCGGCATAGTTCCAGCGATCCGCCGTCACGGCAGCCTTTCACCGGCCCTAAAGAAAAACCAACACCGCCTTAACAGAACCTCTGATATTATTTGCAGAAAAACTGAAGCTAGGAAACCAGCGGCCGCTACAGCTTAATAATAATTAACAAAAAAAACAATTCATCTTATTAATATTATAAATGCGAATGTTTAGATGGATGCATGGAGAATTTATCCCAAAAATGGTTCAACGGATCTCGATGAAATTTGGCAGAGATATAGAACGTAATCTCTAAGAACATACTTATGTATAAGCTACTCGTTAAGTTTTTTTAATACATAGTCATTTTTAGTCTGTGTTAGAAATCTCTTCTTGTTCATTAGAACGGAGAAAAGTAGAGTGAGAAAAAGTTATTAGGTAAACGATTTTATTTTTGGTAAATATTTAATCGTTTCTTCTATATTTAATACTTTGGAACACACTAATAATACTAATTAAAATAGACTCAGTTAAGATATTTCTACTGTCACAATCAACTTTATAAATAAAAAAATTAACAAGACATGATGAGAGAGATTATTTAAAAAGATTCAATAAAGTAAATCGCTGTTCTCATGGCCCGCGCTACAGTAAGGCACTGGGATCGGTTATTTTCTCACGGAGTACGGCCTTGCGACGAATTCTGAATTACATCGTATTTTATATATCGTTTATCTGCCGTATTACTAGAATATTTCTAAAATAAACACCCGCGTTAAATACAGTACACGCCTACTTGTTACAAAGTTTGCAAATAGCAATACTTGTTAGGGTTACCAGTGTTAAAAAATAAATAAGGTTTTTTTTTAAATGTTGCATGATTGGGCTTAAAAATTCCAATTGTATAAATAGGTTTTTGAAGCTTCCTATTGGATTTTCAAATTCTAATAAGAGTTGGGATGGAATAAGAAAGGATATTTTAATATGATAAATTTTATAATCGTATTTAATAGAAAAAGGAAAGTTATGTTTGCAAATATTTGTAAAGTTAAAAACAAACTATAAACTATTTTTATTTCTCTACTACTTACTGGAAGAATTATAAAATCTTATTGATATTATAAATGTGAATGATTGGATGGATGTATAGATGGATCTTTGTTAGAAAATTTTGCATAGTTAACCTTGTCTGGCTATTAGTTAAGATTTTTTTTATTTCCGCGCGGTCGAAGTCGCGGGCGACATCTAGTACGCCATAATATAAATACCAATGTCTTTTCTTTTATTAAAAACAAAAATGTCCAGAACTTAAAATAAGCAATGGTCACAACGCGTATGATTCAGACTACGTAACCTGCTTTGCAATAAACGTCAGATACTAATATTTACACTAGTTGTTTTTTACACCATCTATTTTTCTAGTTTTAAGTAACATTAACATTCCCAGATATATATTTATGAGTTATAAAATAAAAAAAAACCGATTCAATTTGAATAATATTAAATTTTACAAGAAATATTACACGAGAATTGATATATTACTTAAGCTAAGAAGTCTATTTTGTAGTCCTAATCGTTATTCAAAACATTCTACCTTGTTGGTCACCATAGATTGATTCCATGATTAAGAAGGCTCTTTGATTAAAAAATAAGACATATAAACTAAAGGACTTTGAAAAAACTCACGATTCACGATTTAATAGTTAAATACCGTTGGTTTCTGATACTCTGTATAAAACATATTGTCATCTTTACATGGATTTTAGTCTTAGAAACCTACGGTCAGTAAAGAGTAGTATTAATAGAAAACATATAAAAACTATGTCGTAGTACATACAGGTTAGGTCGTCAGGTTCGCATAGAAACAGGAAAGCGATTTAGAAAGCGTCTCACAGATTTTAACACGACAAAAACGTGAATTAATACCATAGAGCAAGTTAAACAACATTAATAAAAACCTTGTTATTATAAGAAAATGGTGAACACATTTTTAAAGTTGTTGGAAAAGATTTTTATCACACCGATAAGGTTACAATTTTGTTAAATAAAATCTCTTTTTATAGGTTAAGAACAACATTTGGTTCGAATCCAAACGCACCTAAATCAAAAATACGACGTATGTTAAATCTACCGTTTACGTAATAAAAATGTCTTACTTAATTATTAATTTTATTACCTTTAGTAAATATAGTATTTAAACAATTAAAACAAATTGCAGACCAATTCAGGTTTGATTACAATGAAATATGTTAACAGCATCTTTGTAAATGAATAACAACGGGTTTGAATTATTTTTTTACAAAGATAATTATAGAATTAACAATGCAACGAATTCAATTATTTCACACCCAGAATTGATAACCAGTGATAATAAAAAATATTATACCAATTATAAACATTGTTAGGGTTATAGTAAACATATTTCGAAATCAGCTGCTAAATTCCGGTAAAGCTTCAACAGCAGTCTAAAATATTTTGACATTTTGTTTTTTTTTACGTCAAATTCCATTTATGGCAATGTAGTTTTTCAGGCAAGCGTCTGTGGTGCTATGAGTGTAAAAAATACATAATTTTCCCTTAAAATAAACAATTCACCTGCAGTTTCTGTGATGTTCTGAATCTTGAGTTATAAAACAGTAAACAGCAACACCGCTTTCATTATTCAATAAGCATACATTCCATACTTTTTACTTGACAACAATTTTCGGAACGCGCCATCATTTCGAAACGGCCGCGCGCGGGAAAAACTATAAAATGGCCGACGTCGGGACCGATGCAAATTGCCCGCGAGAAAAAAAAGACTTTTGAAAACGTAAAAACGTAGAGGAACTCATAGTATTTCATCGCGACGCGAATTATTGAGTGGAGTTAACAGTTTTTATTAAGATTCCCGTGCTCGCGGCTCGGCGACTCGGCCGGCTTTTTGTCGGTCGGGCCGAGTCTGGGAACTCGGCTCTGTTGGCGGGCAAAAAGCGCCCGAGAGGGCCGCCATAACGCTACCAACCACCGCAAAAAAGCACAGACATACGGGTGGAATTAATGCGGCGACTCTTTAATTTTCTTCAAGAAAGCACAAGAGGAAACGATGTAATGAGTGCTGAACACTCGCAAAAACTCTTTGTATAATGATGTTACTCGTTTATGTGCTCTATTTTTTATTATAAACATAATTAGCACAATATTGTGCACATCGACTAAATAAATCAAGTATCGTTTTTATTATCTACAGTCACCCCTAACTTACCGTAGTCTCCGAGCCCATCAGTGGGGATGTATAATGAGCTGATGATGATGATGATAGTTTTGTTATCGTCAAGTAATAAAATAATTATAAACTTTTTCTGGAAGCCCCAAATTACGTATTGATACTATTGGTAATGAAGCGGATAGAGAAAAAAAACTTAAGACTACTGCTTTACATTGGAAATGGCTGAAATGACTATTAAGCTGAGGGACAAATCTTAATAAACCCTTGTTGCCGCTCGTAACCGTTACATATACAGTTCCTGTGTATATTTTTCAAATTAAACTGAAAACACCATATCTAAAAATCAGATTTATTTGTATCTAATTTAACTTTAACAAAGGGACCCTTATTATATAACTTAGATTTTTTTTAATCCACAAAGTTATGTAAAGGGTCTGATTTTGTTGTAATTTCGAATCTTGGACCACCGTTTTGGTTTGTAAATTGGAAAATTTACAACAGAGCCATCTAGCGGCTTTGTCTAAACGAAAGATGCTTCGTTCGACGCACTTATATAAAGCAGATAGCAATATAGGTACTAAAGTTTGGAATTAAAATATATTAGCCTTGAAAGATTTTTTTCTAAACGTACTTTTGTTTTTGTTGTTATTACATTTTATAACAAGCAAAACTCCATGTTTGGTAAGCTTATTAATTGTTATGCCATCTAGCGGCTAGCAGTAACAACAAATTCACTCTAGTGTTTCCATTTTAAAAAAAATTAATGAACAAGGAAATTAAAATGTGATGATTTTTTTAAACAATAATTATTAAAAAGTACTCTTTTAATTATTGCTTCGAGTATGCCATTTTTAAGTATTTTTTTTTTCTAATTAAATTTTATTTTTTTCATTTTACTATGGCCAAAAACCTTTCAGGTAGGGCAATAAAATTTCTGATAAAACAATTTATGCAGCGGCAACACTGACATAAACGAAAAATTTGAATTTGTTTGAATCTCGATGTAACGTATAAGTGCTGTCTAAAACTTTAACGAATATCGTTTGATATTTTATAAACTTTGAGGGATTTTTATATATTTTCTACATAATTTGTGTCATATAACTAGTGCACGGATAATTTGTTAAGTGTTTTCAAAGTAGTGCCTCGAGATGACGTCCGAAAAAGGAGGCAGGAAAGAAAAGAATCAGAACATTCAAGTGTTTGTTCGTTTGAGGTAAAATTACAATGATTATTTAAAAAGAACCGTAAACTACTGTTGTTTATATTCATGAAATGGATTGTAAGTCGTATTTACCTCGAACTAGTTGAATTATAAAGTTCTATAACATCTTAAGTGTACATTTTAAGTAAGTCATAACTCAGCGTTGGACTTGCGTTTTTCTATAAATTTGTAAAATGTTAGTCTTTAGTAAATCAAACCACAACAAATTTATATTGACTCTAAATAAGATAGAATGTATGCTACATATGAGTATACTATGCTAATGCAAACATAAGTCTTGTAATTTCCGAACACCAAATGAAAGGTGAAATTTGCCTAATTACTGCTCCTATTACCTGAAGCCACGGCATGTTACTACCTATGAAACTTAATGTAACAACATACAAAATAATCGGAAAGAAAGTAATCAAAAGATATTTAGAAATGCCAAATAGCTCAGCGGTGAATGGTAACATCTAATCACATGGTTGTTTGATCCAATTCTGAACTATTTTCAATAAAGATATAGTACCGAGAGCTGAGCTGAAATGACTAAGAGAAATATTGCTATATAGTGTGTTAGAGCAACTCAAAGTGGATTTTGGCCTCAATCAATTAAATAATAGCTAATATTTTAACCAAAAAACTTTTCAGACCTCTAAACCAGCGAGAGAGAGATATAAGATCTCTTGGTGTGGTGGAAGTGGTCAGTGGCCGGGAAGTTGTGGTCCGTCAGTCGCAGCAGACCGCTCACACCAAGAGATTCACCTTTGACAGAGCCTTTGGTCCTAACACTAAACAGGTATAGTAATTTTATGTTAACACTGTGATTAAAAACCAATTTTTATAATTAAGAAAATAAAATATGAATTTTAAATGATGCAATTCTAATAGAAATTTGAATTATTTATGCTAACATTCCTAATTTAAGTTTCAACTAGTTGTAAACAAGAACATACAGCTATTCAATTTTCAACAATGGCTACTCACCTTATAATATATTTAAAGCCTTTAGTTGAATAAATTAAGAAAAAGAAGTCAGATATTCAGAATAACAGTTGAATGCCACCATATTTAATAGTATTTACTTAAGAGCAATTCAATTTCTCTTAAAATTAACTTTTACATATACAATATTAAGTTGTTGAAAATATAAATATATTCTAAGTCATCTTCACCAGGTGGAAGTATACCAAGAGGTGGTAAGTCCCCTGATAGAGGAGGTGCTGGCAGGCTACAACTGTACCGTATTTGCCTATGGACAGACGGGCACCGGAAAGACTCATACTATGGTCGGTGAGAACACTGGCAATGAGACAACATGGCAAGATGTAAGTGTGTCACATTTGAATATTTAATTGTGAATTAAATGTCTTGTGCTTAATTAAATGGTTATGTTAATAAAAAAATTACCAATATTATAAAATTGACACAAAACAGTTTTCTTTGCCTACTAAAGGTAAAGAGGTAAATTAAAAATGTAGTACTACTACTATGTTAGCTAAATATCTTGTACATCCTCAGGATCCCCTGGCTGGCATCATCCCGCGTGCCCTCAGCCAGCTATTTGACGAGCTCCGACTCACTAATACGGAGTACACAGTCCGTGTCTCATATTTAGAGCTATACAATGAGGAACTGTTTGACCTGCTTTCCACATCTGAAGATAATTCCAAACTGAGGATCTATGAAGATGTTACAAGGAAAGGATCTAATATTGTTAACGGCTTGGAGGAGATTACGGTTCGTTTTTGTTATTTAAATAAAAGACGATTGTAAACTAACTGTCGTCCGCGACTCCGTCCGTGCGGATTTAATAAAAACTTAATCAGAAGATTAAATCCCTATGTATTTTTCCCGACTATGTTCTACATCTATGTCAAATTTCAAAATTCCATCTAACATTCACCCATCTATCTAAACTTTCGCTTTTTATATTAGTAAGATGGTATTTATATTAAAAGCACCATATATTTTATTTTATGAAAACTAAAAAATACAAAATGATGAATAGGGATATTTTCTTCCAATTGCAACCAAGTAAAGTCTTTAAAAAAACTACATTTACAGTAGGCATGAGACCTTTTTTGGGGGTTGATGACGAATTTAGTGAACTAAATATTTTGGCGAGTGTTGAAATAGAAATAATGGAGGTAATATGCTTTAGTGTGTCATTCTTTGGTTTGGTTAAGAAGTCCTTCTTGTTACCAGGTATATAATAAGAATGAAGTATACAAAATAATGGCGCAAGGACAAGAGCGCAAGAGAGTCGCCTCCACACTCATGAATGCACAGTCAAGGTAAGATTTACCATAGTGATTAAAAAAACTAAATTAACTTACGTTCTTTAAGCTATCCTCTATTTATTTTTTAATACTGAGTCAATTTTATTCATGATTTTTAAATTTTTTAATCATATTGTGTTGGTCATTGCTTCCAAATAGTACCATATTTTCTTAATATTCCATTCACGTAGTTAATAAAATATTTTCTTGTATAAAAAATAAGTACAAAGTTTGTTTTGAACATTGCAGCAACTCAAATGAAAAGCTAAACTCGAAGCAGTTGTAAGTTGTGTTCACATTGTGTTACATAAAACTTGTTTATGTTTCCTCCCGCTCTTATATAGAAGCTTTTCTTTTAAAATATTGTCTTATTTGGTTACTGCAATGTTCATTTGAGGAAGCATATGCAAATTTCTTAGAATTTATGTAGATAGATATATGTAGCTGATATGATTTAGTTTAGTTCTTTTTGCTTTTCCATTGGATATATAAATGTACTAATTTTCATCAAATTAAAATACAGTCGAACCGGGATAAGCGCGAGACCAAGGGAATATTATATTTCTTTCGTTTATAGAGGTTTCTTGGTTATTCCGGTTTGACTATATATATATATGTTTAATATGTAATAGTTCAAATCTAATAAAATCGAACAAATTTTCATATAATTTATAATACTATTATCTCACAGTTTTTTTTAGTGTTAATTAACGTAAATAAAAATCACTTTTTGTTTTGTTTATGTAATTAATTTTTTTTCCGAGCAAAATTTAATTAATAATACTAATGTTACTTTGTGTTGTCAGTCGGTCGCACACGGTGTTCACGATCGTGATCCACATGAAGGAGAACAGCCCCGAGGGCGAGGAGCTGGTGAAGATCGGCAAGCTGAACCTGGTGGACCTGGCGGGCTCGGAGAACATCAGCAAGGCTGGCTCCGACAACCCCGCGAAGCGCGAGCGCGCCCGCGAGTGTGTCAACATCAACCAGTCCCTGCTCACCCTCGGCCGCGTCATCACCGCCCTCGTCGAGCGCCACCCCCACATCCCCTACAGGTGCTTTGATAAAACAGACATATGTTTTAAACGAGGATTCTCTAAGTGGCCATTAAAGAAGAGCCTATATGTAGATTGTACGTACTCCGTAATGACTCACAGTACGAGAACATAATACTTATGTATATGTATTACATTTTATAATTAAAAAGAAACAAGTAATAAGCTAATAATATTAATTATGTTAACTTTATGTCTGACACAAAAATACTTTTCGTTATTATAAAATAACTCAGCTATACCGTTGTTTAAACTTTAGGGAATCAAAATTAACCCGCATCCTACAAGAGTCGCTGGGCGGTCGCACAAAGACCTCCATCATCGCGACCGTGTCTCCCGGACACAAGGACCTGGAGGAGACGATGAGCACGCTGGAGTACGCCAACCGCGCCAAGAACATACAGAACAAGCCCGAGATCAACCAGAAGATGACCAAGAAGGCCATCCTCAAAGAATACGCGGAGGAAATCGACAGGCTCAAGAGAGATCTGCAGGCCGCTAGAGATAAAAATGGTGAGATATTAATCATAACCAATACAATAACATTCATTCTGTCATATTTTGTTTTATTCTAATTAAGTGTGTTTGACTTATCATATCCAAATTATGAAGATATTTCTTTTTAGAGATTTTGTTTTGTTGTAACCTAACTAAAGGAATATTTTAAAACACTAGCAGTTGCTGATTATTTCATCAACGAGGAATAAAAAAAAATATAGGCCAACAATGAAAGAATTTTTCTAATTGGTTCAGTCGTGTGTATTCAAAGCAAATAAAGCAACGATGAGATGATATGTTAATTCAAAAGAGTGTAGATATAACAAATTCCAAATTTTCAGGTGTATACCTCGCCAATGAGACATTCACGGAAATAATGCTGAAACAAGAGGAACAGAGGAAAGAGATACAGGAACTCCTGCTGAGGAAGAGATCTGTAGAAGAGGAGAGGGAGAGGATGGAGTCCATGTTCAACTCTCAGGGTCAGGAGCTGCAGCGACAGCAGTCAGAACTCAACATGACCAAGAATATATTGAACAGTACTAAAGATAAACTTGTTGAAACTAAAAATGTGAGTATATACATAAATATACTGTTTTATGTTATAATACATAGAGTAGTAATACAATTTGAATATATAAAAGGTTATAAAAAGTGTTATTGGTTCAAAAGATAACTATGTATAAATAGATTACGTTATTTACATAACAATTTCGTGAGTAATGAAAAATTTATAAATTATCTTTGTTAAATTCATATTCACACAATGAATGTTTTTCGTCAACGTCATTTTGAGTGAATCATAAGTTGTGCAACATGTGCAGATGCTGCACAGCACGCAGCAGGAGGTGGAGGAGCAGAAGCACCTGGTGTCGTGTCACCAGCGCACCGAGAGCGGGCTGAGCGCGCACGCCGCCGACATCCTCGCCGCCGCAGACATGGCCACGCAACATGTCTACTGCCTCCATGATAATGTTGATAAACGCAAGTCAGTACTTTCTTACTCATACTAGTCATATTACCATAAACTTGTAACTCTTCTCCAGTGAGTGGCGCTAGTGTCGCATTCAAAGCGACACCTCGGGACCAAATATGAAACTAAAATATAGTTTCGGTTTTACCCCCAACAGAAAGGAGTCTTGGTTCAGTGCCTACTCTATTAAGGGGAGATTAAGCTTTAGTTAATCACTCTTGCCCACTGTGGGTTATCTTCACACATATCTCTGAATTTATTCGCAGATATGTATTCTTTCATCGTAAGAACGTCGAACGTTTTTAAGCTATGGTCCGTTTTAAAGTGTGTAAGTATAATGTTTGTATCAGAGTGGTGGAGCAGAGCAACCTGGAGGTGCGCAGCGCGTACCTGAGCGCGGCGCAGCGAGTGCGCACACAGATGTCGCAGGCCGCCGACACGCTGCGCACGCGACAAGCTGACACCTTCGCTGACATGCAGCACGCGCTGCGTATGTATACACCACTATTTACATTTCTAAGCCTTCATTGTGTTACTAATCTAACGGCGAATATTTAACAGAGAGCCACACCGCGGAGAGCGTGCAGATTTGCGCAGACAACAGGGCGAGGATGCAGCAGCTGATCGCGCAGACCACCGAAGCCATGAACAAGGTATATAGAATTGGAAATTTATTAACCTCTTGCTAATATTGAAATATTTAATTCATGTAAGTCTACTATCGCACCGCATTATGACGCCAACTATAACGAGGCAGCCGGCATAGATTGCATAGCTTTTTGGATCTCTATTTTTAGTCTAATTTAGCAGTTGCCCGCGACTTAGTTCATACAAAAATGTAGTAATAAATATTGGCTGTCACCCGGGTATAATATACTTTTCCAATATTAAAATACGTCGTCATATCAGTGCAATAATTTCGGAGCATATTCAATGCATACAAACAAACAAATGTTACTTTTATGTATTCTTAGTATATAGATTTAAAGTTTAATATTTGTTTGTACGTGTACAGATGTCAGCAGTGCAGAGCGAGGCGAGTGCCGAGGTGCGCAGCAGCAGCAGTGCGCAGCAGCGCGAGGTGCGCAGCGCGCTGGCGGCGCAGTGTGCGCAGCTGCAGGCGGCGGTGCAGCGCGCAGCAGACACCGCGGCGGAGGCGCTGCTCACTGCTGCGCATCTCGACATGCAGACACCGCTCACTACATACTTGGACCAATGGGTCAGATGATTTTTATGTTGTGTACTTGTGTTTAAAAGTGATAACTGAAAGTCTATCATGAATAATTGCGGGTTGCGCTTTCGTAGCGCCATCGATAAAATGATTTGTTATTGTACTTTACGCCGCTTTACGGCCAGGGAACTGTACAAATCTTATATTACATAGATTTGTATGCGTTGTCAAAATAATAAAATTAAATGATTTCAGGCATTGCAAGTTGAATTCTACTTATTTTGTGTATATGTCGGCAGTACACGAGCATGTGCGCGAGCCTGTCCGCGCTGCGCAGTGGGCAGGCGCAGTTCGCGCAGTGCGTGTCGAGCGGTGCGCAGACACAGACGAGAGCCGCACGCCGGCAGCGCGCCGCACGTCAGGAGCACGCAGACCGCACTAACGCTGCTATCAATGCACGGATTGCGGTACATTTACTTTTTTTTGTTTATCCTAAACGTAGCTTTTCATGGTCTGAACTCGTGTTACGAAGAATTGGAAGATTTTATAAGGAATATTCTTTCGGGATATGTTATACTTCGGAGCCAAATTTCATCAAGATCCGTCGAGCCTCTATGGAGATGCCTTCTAACAAACATCCATCTATCCATCCATCTTAACTTTCCCATTTAGTAAGATTTAAAGTCGTAAGAGACTGTTTAAATAAAAAAAAAAACTTCTAAGTACACTGCGTTCAATGAAATTTGTAAATTAATGAGTTAATTACTTTCCAGCTTATAATGGAAGATAAAGCAAACATAGAACGACAGATAAACGAACAGTTGGAAGACATAAAAAGAGAAAGAGCAGAAATGGAGCTCCGTTTAACTGAATGGATGGAAGAAGAGAGACGTCTTCTAGAAGAACGTATCGCGAAACACGTTGAGAAAGAACGAACAGCTTTAGAAGAGAGGTTAAAGTCGAGGTTATCGAGAATAGAAGAGCATAAAAAGAAGATGGAAGAGACTATATCATATAATTTGGAATGGCATGAAGCATTGCTGAGGTTAAATGAACAAGAGAATGGAGAACTAGACGCTAATATAAAGGAGAATGAAAAAGAAGTTGAGAATTGTTTGAAAGAAGTGGAGAACTTTAAACAACTTTGTGATGAAGGTAAATTAAAAAAATTATAAATTAAATTAAAAAAAAAAAAGATTTACTCTATCCTTATGACACTTAATCGCAGAAAAAAGTCAAATGACATCTCACTTGTCAAAATAGAAACATACAAAATGACATACATTGGTGTGAAAAACATTTTCCGTCTGAATCGGTTAACGGTTTTGACTCTGAATCGGTATTTGTAAATATAGTATAGTAAATTTATGAATATTTTGGAAACTTTGATTAAAAAAAATAAAATCAAAGTACATGAATGTAAAATAATTTGTTGTGTTTCAGGTATGAATGCGGTGTCAACAGAGGTAGACTCCTTGAGTGGTAACGTTCTGAATGTTGTCGCTGAAGTTAAGAGTAAAATGGTGGATGTTGTACAAAGCGCCAAAGATAAAGTTGAGGTATGTATTACTACATTATTATATTGAAAAAATATTCGATAACTCAAAAGAAAAATAAAAAGCGTACTTTTTCAAGGCTCTAAATTTTTATTTAGTAATTTTCTTACACATTTGATCTTTATAATTACTATTTTACAAGATAATATGAAACATATACGAATTAAATAATAGTTAGTTCTTTACTAAATAATAAAGTTAAATTTCTTATGAATTATCTTGAAATACGCATATAATTACAGATGGAAAGCAAGGAAGCTATATCAAGCAGCCAGCAGGCGTCGGAGCAGGCGTGCGCCAGTGTGGAGCTGGCCATACAGACCGCCGCACACCACTGCCAGCTGGCCATCACTGGCATGCTGGAACAGATTAACGTTAGTAATCCTATTCTAATAAAATACATATAGCTGTTTTGTATTTTATACAACAAAGTCTTTCAAATACTATCAAAGATTATAAAAATAGAAAATTTGAGTAACTATTTGGTATTGTAACCGATGTAGTTTAACGCTAGTCTTGTCGGGGATTATTTTTTACATTATTATAATGATATTTTTATTTTAGATTTTATGTAAAATGTTACAGACACAAACTAAAACAATTTAAATCATTATAGCAAAATGAGCTGTCACCCGCGACTCCGTCTGCGCGGGATTACAGCCAATTCTCAGAGTTACTTAATATGCATAAAATTCTGCCAAGTTGTGAAGGATTAATATAACTAACATTGTGACACGAGAATTTTTATGTAAATGTAAATTTTTATCAGGCAAATACAACATCGACGATAGAAGAAGTGTCCTCAGTATGCGAGAGCAGCGCGGCTCTGGAGAGTGTCAGCCGCAGTCACCTGGCGGAGCAGAGGTCGCGTCTCTCCGCCGCGCACACGCACGCTCACAACTTCTACTCCGCGCTCAGGCATCAGATGGATCTGCAGGAGGAGGCGGAGCAGAACTGTCTCAAGGAACAGTACAAACTTTACTCGCCTACTGGTAATGGTTCAATATTTCCTTAAAATTCCATGACATTTACATTTGATTTTGTCATTTATTGTGTTTTTTTGTAATAATTTTGAATTTCCACATTCTCTATATTAATATAATTAAGTACAGTAAAACGGGATATAAAATTTTTTTGTGTGTACGTGCAGGTCGTACTCCAGCGCGTGCGCAGTACCAGTACCCGCGCAGACTGCCCGCCACCTCCCCGCACGCGCGACTCCTCGCTCGCTTCCGCGCCGCACGACTCGCCACGCGACAGAACAGTCGCGAACATGATCATGTATGTATTACATCCTCTTACATGTTAAAAGATACATTTTTATTGTTTTTAATTTATCTTCAACTAGCTGTCGCCCACGACTCCGTCTACGAGCAATTAAAACTATTTTTTTTTTTTTTTTTGTGACTGATTGCCACTGTTTGCCTTGA